CAGGCCCAGACGATGCCAGGGTTTTCTGGCAAACTTGAACCGTCGCCAGAGGGGCACGGCAGGGTAAGTCGGTCGTCAAAGGGGCACATCGCAGACATACATTAACTTTAGGGTCAAGAGTCAAGACACAAGCATTCCCAAATAAAAAACAAGTTAGAAAAACAAATGAAAACAATCGTTTCTAGGCTAGCCTAAGGCTGTTTCTGAGCGGGGCATGCTGGTACCAAATAGATATCCAGTAGGGGCATACTGAAAAGTTGAATTGGTGCTGCTAGGGGCATAATTATGAAAACATATCAGGCTCAGACGATGCCAGGGTTTTCTGGCAAACTTGAACCGTCGTCAGAGGGGCACATCGCACACATACATTAACTTTGAGGGTCAAGAGTCAAGACACAAGCGTTCCCAAATAAAAAACAAGTTAGAAAAACAAATGAAAACAATCGTTTCTAGGCTAGGCTGTTTCTGAGCGGGGCCTGCCTCAGCAGCTCCGCACCAATAGATGGAGCAGCTGGTGGCCACTACAAGCGGGGGCTGCTCATATCACCCGTTCTAGTAGATAGCCAAGGCTTTAAGAAAAAAGAAAAAAAACGCTAGGCTGTTTCTCCATCCGCCCTGGCACTACTTGTTTGCCCATACACCTGCCCGCCCATCCGGCCAGGCAGGATCTTTGGGTGGGGTCCTGGGCGGCCCCAGCACAAAACCAGCTGTTTTGTTCCTTGTCACGTCGTGCTGCAGCAGGATATTATCTCCGTCAAGTGCACTGTGCACTAGCAAAGTTGCGTGGGATGTCAGTGTGAAAACCCCATTCTTGCGCTGCATTTTTGTGTCCCAGGAAGGGCATTAGTGTGACAAAAAATAGGTATAACTACAGGGGTAGGACTGAAATTCGTACCATAGACGGAGTGAAGAGAGGAGATTCTAGTATGGACAGAGACAAACTAAAGTCTGACAGGGACATACCCTACAGTCGGGTACCTTTCAGGAACTAGGTTACGATGGTACCAGGCCCAAATGTAGTAAGGAGGAACCCAAGGCCCTCTCCCTCCTCCTACAATTAGTAATCCTCCATAACCATGAAGGTTTTCTTCGTCACCCTCAGGTGCTCATCCTTACTCTACCCGGTGCTCTCCCTTAACTCTCACTCACGGTGGAGCAGCAATATCACAGCCAGATGAATTGTTGAACTGCTCATTATTCCGAACAATATACTCTCGCCTCCCTCGCCTCGCTCGCCTCCCTGGCCTCCCTGGCCTCCAGTCCCTCCGAGTACCTGCATGCTAGGCCTCCCTGGCCTACCAGAGGTTTCTGCGCTTTGGTGTGAACGCCATCAGTCTGTAATTCACTTTGCAGGCGTGGAGGTATCTAGTGATTTGAGTCCATGATGGAGGTAGTCTAGACGGAGAAGAGCCTCAAGCTAGGCTATGGAGGTAGGTGGAACTGTTGCAGGTGAGTAGAGGCATTCTGAGAGGAGGAAGATGGAGGAAACCGACAAGAGGACTTGCCTTTGGCTAATATGGTAAACCGTCATTCCTACTTCCTTGCTTAGTGCAACTTCATCTGGAAGGCCCCTGTGGGGGTGTTGGTTGGAGATGGACGTCATCCGGGAGCATGGCTATGGTGCGGGGAGAGAGATGGGAGGGGCATGGTAGTAGTAACTGTTGTGCTGTGTTTTGAGCATCCATGCAAGGCATGGATCATTGTCCGTAGCTACATCGTTTCCTTTACCGCGAGGAGGGAAGACGGGTATAGTGTACATACCATGAGTGAGGTGGAAGGAAGCTGCCATTTTTTTTTAATTATTATTATTATTATTATTATTTGATTTTATTTTTTTTTCAACCGGGCCCGGTGCCGAAGGCTGATATTACCAATACTAAGATTGAGGCCGGGGTCCTCACAGTCTGCCCGGAGTGATCGAACCGAAACTGCTGAGAACTGGCCTCAGCATCCCTCAAATGGTTATGATGATGACTATTGCAATCAGACTCGATCTCAAACACACTTTTCATGCATGTAAACAGCAACACAGCATACTGGCGACATGCGCCCACTCAAAACTCAGAGATATGGCTTTCAGATACGAGTTCACTCTCAATTGGCTATGGCGACTTCAGCGCCCAAACATCTCACTGTTCACATACACTGGATCACCCTGGATATCCCACACGCATCACTCTAACACTTGAGCACATACACACACTCACTACTAACTACAGCTATGGCAGCTATGGCTGCCTCTAACCTATCGCTATGCTAACTCCTCCTCTCTTGCCCACTGCGTCCTCCGGGCTCATCTGCAGACCTCCTCGCACAAGTCGCTGTGGCAGCGCTTCCGCATGGCTCACGCAGGAATGAATGAATGGCTGGGCGCTGCCTCTTGATTTATACTTCAGAAACTCGTTGGTCTGCCCTTTGCCATCGGCCCTTGGTGATCACAGTCCCCCTGTGGTACTTGCTGGACTGGACTGGGACTCTCTAGACCCTTCTGCTGACTGTAGGCAGTCGTACCGTCGACTCAGTGCAGTTGCACTGAGGTCCTAACTGTTGACCTTGCCACTTGTCTTCGTCTGAAAACGTGGGCCTACCTTAGACTCRCCACTTGACCACTTGCCGACCTTCTAGAAGGACTACAGCTAGGCCTCTGGACTCTACTTGGACTCCTACCTTACAGGTCTACAGTTCGAATCTCCCTACAGCCTACAACCTACGGCGACCTACTTACCACTGGCTATCGTGCAGGTCACGGGTTCAACTCCAGGGAACTGTGCAGATACGGTACACAGGTAAGCTGAGGTCAAGGGATCGACCCCTGGGATCTGCATCGGCTACTGCCAAAGGTAAAAACTGTTTCACTATGATGATACTGATGATACCATAGATAATGATGCTAATGAGAATGATAATTCAAATATATGAAAAAAAAATATAAGATTATGCTATATCAGCTATTCTGGCCTCCGTATCCCAGGAAGGAAGCTGCCATAGTGACTGAAGTTGTGCAGTAGTGGGCGAACCGTTGGTACGAGTGATAAGCAAGTGTGATGGTATTTCTCAAGATAGTGACTTGGAGCAGCGGGAGGGAAGACACCGGTCCAGAGAATGTGACTCAATCGCGCTCACTTTGTCATGGAGTTTCTGAAGATGGCGTGTACCATCGATCTCGGATCATTGTGTTAGTTGGGGAGCCACTTGACCAGCTACAACTGGTAAGCGGGGGTGATGGGGATAGCTAGAGGGATGAGACCTCGAGCAGCGGGAGGGAATTCATGTCCTATGTCTGCTCTTTGTAACGACCCGCACAGTTTTCAGTGTGAGATTTCAAATCTGTCTTGTTCATTAAATTTAGAACGTTTCAGTTTTTTTATCTATTTGCCGAGATATTTGAGATGAAGTTTGTTTTGATGTGTTTTCTGAGTCTGTGTGTCCGGCTGATGATGTATGTTCGCCCTTGTGCTTCTCTGTTTGCCTGCTTTGATCTAGTTTCCGAGTCTTGACTGGATTCAATGAATTGTGCTATGTTTCTTTCTCGCGGGATTGGTAGAACAGTAATCAGATACACTTACAGGGGTAGGACTGAAATTGGACGCCAGGCAGACTTAGAGGGAATTGAATTTCCAGGAAGGACAAGGACAAGAGTACAATTTGAGCGCGACGCGGGTAGGACCGTAGGAATATCCAATACCTTGGGTGGGCCTATCAAAGTCCGGAAGTTTTGAGTACTAGGTCGTGGTGCGACAGACCAGGTCCAAAGGACCTTCAAGAAGAGGTTAACCGGCCCCCCATTTTTCACCTCAATTTAGGGCCGAAAAGTGGGGGTCCCTGTTAACCGCTTATGGGACCTTCTGGGAGGCTCAGCCTGACAGGAGTCAACGACTACCCCGCAGCATGCCCAGACCATGTCCTTCTCCAGCTCTTGGTGCTTACGACAAGTTGACAACACAAAAGCCCCGGCACTCGTAGAGACTGAGAGGAGCATTGGAAGTTCAGGATGTCTGGAATCAATGCTGGGCATGGGTCCTTCAGCCAAAGCACCTCATGACATATAGAAGTGTGGCGTGCTTCATGGCTTCATTGACTTTTATATATCAATCTAACTGCAGGCGGATCGGAGCCCGACCGCTGATGGATTGGAACCAGAGCGCCGGTGGACTGGAAACAGACTGACACACCAGAATCGACAACGAGCCTGGACCACAGGGACCTGTTTCGACAGTGTAGTGGAATTGCAGGCTTGCTCTTTTCTTTGTTGGTTTGTTTGTTTGTTTTGCATTCTCGCCTGGTCTTTGTTTGTTTGTTCCCAGGTTCATTTTTTTTGTTTGTTCTGTATTCTTTCAAAAGGCCAGCCAGCTTGAGGTATCATAATTTAAATGACCAGCCCAGAGTAACTCAGAGTGGTGTTTTCCGTAACTTTTTACTCGACGTCTGATTCCTTCAGGATTCGAACCCGGGTCTGTATATCGACAGTTCATGAGTGCACCATTTAACCACATGGGCTCAGTACTGCTCTTGCCAGCAATGAAGTATTGGATTGTCTCAAAGTTGGGTCTAGCATTGCGAATTGAGCAGGATCATGGCATCGTGATCTTTTTCCCTTTTTGTGTATTTTGTGGCTATGGTGTTCTTCTCTTGATGCGGACCAGGGCCAGCAGGCTGTGCTTATGCAGGAAAAGCTGCAGCTGTGATGGGCAGGTTACGAGCAGTTATTAGGTAGAGACTAATTTGCCGAAAAACACATATTATTTTGTGGAGGGCAATCCAGTTGAGGAGCTTGAGGCAACCTGTAAGTGGAGACTTCAACATCGTCACAACAGGGTGAAGGGGAGATCCACAGGGAGAGGGGGAGGAGGGGTGAGGGGGTGGGGGTGGGGGGGTTCCCAAGAGAAAGGTGAGGCCATCAGTGCATTATACGACTGGTGGAACAGGGGCCAATAAGAAATCAGAAAGACGATCGCTCGGGGTGCTAGAACTGTCAGCTTCCACTCAGTAGCGAACGGGGACGCTATCGCCAGTTGCTGTCGGGGCTGCGGGCAAAGGCCATGGATCTCTGTCAATTCAGTATCATGTCCTCTTTGGACACGGTCAAGGTTGCGGCAGCAGTGGGTCAGAGGCAGACAGGCGGGAAGGTGCCAGAGAGCGCACACTGTAACGATTCGGTGGTCACTACCAGTTTGCAAACTGCGGTCGATTCAAGCAAGGATGTGTCTCAAGGGGTAGGGCGAATGCGAGAGGAGGAGGGACTGCCTGTTCTTCATCAGGCTCCCACCTCACCGCAGATGGAGCTTGCATGCAATCAGCAAAATCATTGTGCAGCATCTGGCGATAATGACAACAGCGATGATCGTGAAATTCTTCGTAGGGAAGCTGCGAAGCTCATCATTTTTGGATTTGATGGAACGTCAATCAATGAGCATGCAAGGCGGATGCTTGCTCTGGGTGTGGGAGGGGTGATACTCTTCTCCAGAAACATTGTTGACCCAGAGCAAGCTGCAGGCCTTTGTGCGGAGCTGAAGAGGAGATCCTCCAACTCTCGGCTGCTTATTATGGTGGACCAGGAGGGCGGGAAATCGTGCCAACTTCACCCCCAGTGCAAGTTCACGCCTTTGCCGACAGCCCGTGAAGTTGGGAGTACGAAAGACCCACAAGCAGCAGTGAAGGTTGCCACTGTCATTGGGCGTGAGCTCCGCGCAATCCACATCGACGTGTGTCTCGGACCTGTCGTCGACATCGACACAAACCCGGCGAATCCGATCATCGCCGAGCGCTCGTACGGGAGAACCCCAGAGATTGTCAGCTCCATGAGCGAGGCGTTCATTCGACAGCTTCAGTCCCAAGGAGTTGCAGGCTGCGCGAAGCACTACCCTGGACATGGTGACACACCGGTAGATAGTCATGTAGAGCTGCCCACAGTCACACATGGCCTCGATCGTCTCAATGGTGTCGAACTTGCACCATTCAGGGTGGCTGTGCGTGCAGATGTCGCATCCATAATGGTGGCCCATGTGGCATTCCCTGCTCTGAGTTACTCTTGTCCCTCCCTTTTGTCAAGGGAGGAGAGAGAAAGGGATGCATCACTTCCGGCTTCCATGAGCACCGGCGCTCTAAACTACCTTCGCAATCAGCTCGGATACTCAGGGTTGGTGCTCAGTGATTGCTTGGAAATGGGCGGCATAACGCGCAGGTTTTCTGTTGCAGAAGCTGCAGTCGCAGGACTCAGAGCAGGCGTAGACATGTTCCTGGTCTGCCACACTGAAGAGAGCCAGCGATCGGCGATCGACGCCATAGTTGGGGCTGTGAATGATCAATCGTTACCCTTGGAGAGACTGAGGGAGGCACGGAGCAGGGTAGATGCCCTTCTGGATCAGTACTCTGTGGCACCATGGAAGGAGCATCACCTAGAGGGAGCTGGCAATGGGACTGGTGAGAATTTTGACGGCGCTGATCTAAGGTGTGTGGGGTGCAAACAACATGCCGACATGATGATGGACGTGCTGCAGCAGGCACAGGGAATGACTCCCTAACTAATACTCTCTCTCTCTCTCTCTCTCTCTCTCTCTCTCTCTCTCTCTCTCTCTCTCTCTCTCTCTCT